TTTATAACTTCAACTTTTATGAAAAAAAGAAACTATTTCATAAAATGATCTTTTCCTGGTGGTTATCAAAAAAAAAAAAAAAGACCAAAGAGTGGGCAAGGAGAAAAGCTAGGAAACATGACAGGGGCCATGACATACATTTATATGCACAAGATGGTTTAAGCAATGTTCCTGGGAATCTTCAGCAGGTTTTAGAAACTAGCAGTTGATTGGTAGGATTCCCAGCTTGACTATAAAAGCTGATAGCTGTGAATTAAGCTGCAGCACTGAAGACAGCAGTGTTTAATGGTAGGGTCATGCTTGGAATGCCTATCATTCTGCTCTTGTGAATACGTACTGCTTGTCATGTCATACCAATTACTGCCATACTGTCTCTCAATTAAATATTTGTTTAAAAAAGGGTAATAAATGAAAAATAGAGACAAAAAAGTCATGAGAATGTCCTCCTACAATGCTGTATATGGTTAGATTTCTAAAATTATATGTAAAAAGTATGTAATTATTTATTCCCATTTAAAAAATATTTTTCTATTATTTTCTTCATACTCTGTAGGGAATTAAAGTTTAACATATCAATACTTGATGGAAAATACCTGTTCCATTTTATGCCTAAGATGTTTGATAATCACACAGATAATGAGGTTAAGCTCAACTGCCTATGTTATAGGGTAATAATATTAAGGTTTTCTTCTGTAGTGAAGAACTTCTCTTCTGAAGTGAAAAACTTAAATTTTGCAGACCAAAAATTAGAGAAAAAGAAGGGGTGCAAACACAGCCAACATTTTGGAGCCAGCTTTTCAATGTCAGTGAGGACTCAGGACATGGGAGAACCTGTACTGTAACATTCTGTAACTCAGTTGTGTCCCAAATTTACTGATCAATGAGATTATGGGGCCACAGAGAAAAGTGATCTATGATGTAGAGTGTACCTAAGGAGAGTAACATGGAGAGAAAACATTCTCTCAGGCTTTCCCAGAGAGCAAATTTTTCAACCGATGGCCATGACTCATCCAGATGGTGACACTGACAAAAGATCTATGAACTGTGGTACAGGGATTCATGGTAAATCCTGAGCAGATTTGACTGACCCTGTCAGATATAAAAGTTACATTTCTTATTATATAGGTCTTCCTTTACCTTGGTCTTAACCATCAAGCAGAAAATTATAAAAATTAAGTATAAAAAGTAAAGCCATATTAATAAGCAGAAGTGTAAAAGGCTCTAGTCAACAACTGACATTGCAAGTCCTACAGATAACTCACTACTATTATGGACTACTGGACTATATTGGAATATTTTTCTGATTTCATACACTACAATATTTAAATGATAATGGAATACCCTTCTTTGATAAAACTAAACAAAAAAGGGACACAAATGAGTGACCATTTTGTATCTGTGTATTCAAAATAGTTAGGATAGATATACAGCTACATTCTCTTAACTTAATGAATAAAGTTTATTCTAATAATGTTTGTGGATGGGATGTCACGCCTGCATCTTGCACAATGAATAACCAGTGAGACAACATTGTGCAATGTATTTATTTTTGAAACCTCTTAGTCATCTGTTTTGAAACTGTCTCATTGATATTTGTTTCTAAATAAAATTATTTTTAAAAAGTGAATGCAATATTATGAAGCGACTCTCTTCATAAAAGCTCAGGATTCCTATAATGATTGGGCCAAGATTGGAGCAGATCTGAAAGATAATAGTCAGCGAATGAAAAGCATGTAATTTCCAGAAAATAACTTAGGCCAAGTTGTTCCAAAAACCTCTTATGATCTGGAGAGAATGAAAAGGGCGTATGCCATCTAACAAATGAGCCTCCTCCTTACCTGTCCTGTAGTCATAATTCCTGAGTAAATGTTTGCTTAAAATTTTTTATTCTCATGTCCCCAATTTGAGATCAATACCCACAAAGGGCTGAGATCGCATAACACTTCCCTAAGGCTCTAATGAACATAAGCAATGGCTGAGGGCTTTACTTTGGAATCAGTCATGTCTACATGTAAACTTTCTCCTCTGAGCAACCAAATTTGAACATTATGACAATGCAGGTGGAGGGCAGATAGGCAGTTACATCAAATCTTTGTACCTGTTCTTCAACTTCCCTATACATACAAAAGTTCAGGGCTGGCACAGCATGTAGTTCAGGGCATCGAACTCCAGTCCCAGCACTTGCATAATCAGGTGCTTACTCTTGCCGGACCTTGAATTTTACAATTTTAAACTTAACGTTTTATTGATTTTTATCAATTGGCATGTGGGGGTTATAAAATTTTCAGATGGCTAATTGTTATTCATTTTTTGAATATATTGTATGAATAGTGTTATAGTTCTGGAGATTTTTTTGTCATAGAAAATAATTTCCTTTCTTAACAGTTGAAGATAGACAATAGTACATTGTGGTAATAATAACAACACCGTGTTCTTGGATTCATAGTATATATGACAATAATAGCTATAAGTGAAAGACAGTGGAGCTATATGTGATCAT